ATATTTCCTGCTTTGAACTTGGGGCTGGAACAGCGTGCTCTTGGCCTTCTGCTTGTCCTGCTTGGGCTCAGTGCTTCGGGGACACAAGCAGCCAAGCGCAGCGCTAAGACAACACAGATCAACCAACACTGCCAAATATCAGATTGCACAAGGGTAATTTAATTGCTTTAGTGGCAAAGAGAAAACAATAAGCCCAACAGACTTCACAATAACCAGTCTGGTTGTTCAACGAGTGGATGATGGCACAAAGGGGTTACGTTTGACTGATTCCAGTAAGATTTATAGATTATTCTCATGAGCTCAATCAAGGAGAGACTGATGAATAATTGGCAGAGCTTCTTTGTTTGTATGTGTTCAGTGGGTAATGGGAGCATACTCTTCAGAGGGTCGGCTGTGACTCATGAGGCCACCCCATGGAGGTTAGCAGTGGAGTGTAGCTGGTAGCAAGCTGTAAGGACTGAGAACTTGGCACTTATTCAGAGGCATGGGAGATGATCGCAGATTATTCATCATGTGAAAGAGATATTTGTGGACTGTGGATTTTGTTGCCGCCTTAAGAAGTCAGTGAATATTGTATTATGCATGAAAAGTCCAGAGTTGTACTAACATCTTATGTTATGTTATGTTATGGAAACAGATTTTTAACAGGACCAGCAAATCTTAAAGATCCAGATGCAAAATTCAGATTTCCCAGGATATTTGTGAACACAGAGGACAGTTACGAGGAGCTACATTTGATTGTTTACAAGGTGAGAGAAATAGTCAATGTCAGTGTTATTCTTTATGCATTTTAATCTATAAGCTTAACATGATATTGAGTAATTACCTAACATTCTTGTTTTTAATTATTTATTATAAATAAAATGAATAAAGTATATTGTTAATAATAATAATAATTTTTATTATTTAAAGGTGACATATTATGCCCCTTTTTACAATATGTAATATAAGTCTCTGGTGTCCCCAGAATGTGTCTGTGAAGTTTCAGCTCAAAATACTCCACAGATTACATATGGGCAAATGGAAACTAACACTAATTCAAACAAGATACAACATTTGCTTATTTGTTTAGTTGTTCATTCTTATAAGGTGATGTGTGTGATTTTAAGTTAAAATACTTAAATATAACAACAGTGGCTCCAAAGTTGTGGGTTTTCTGTGAGAATCTGTTGAACAATAAGTGTTCAGTTATGGTTAATAATTTTGTTTCTAGACAAATAAAAGTTGATTTTTGATTGAAATAAAGCATATGTGCTAATTTCATATTTTACATAAATGTTATTCCTTATCCAGGCAATGAGTGCAGCTGTATGCTTCATGGTAAATGGTAAGTGTCCGCATTGAAGTAATTTTTTTCTTGTTTTGTTAACAGTTGATTTAGGAATCATATTATCAGGAAATCAGTCAAATGTTAACTGTTCTTTCAAACCCTGCTTCCCTTTGTCCTGTAGCGGCAGTGGATTTGAATCGTGAGTTTTGTGAACAACTAGACAGCCTGGTTGGTCCCCAACTCACCATGTTGGCCTCTGACATATGTGAGCAGTACAACATCAACCGAAGGATATCAGGGTCAGTATTACTCCAGAGCTTCACTTCAACTGCTAAATGAAGAAAATCTAATGTTTGCAGAAAAAACCTCAGTGTCAGGTCATTAAATAATATCAGAAAGGCATTGTAAGTGATTTTTTTGGCACTGAATTAGCCCTTGAACCACACTCACTCAACTGTTTTAATGATATCTGTCAAGTAGTTGGGACATTTTATTTGTGGTACTAAGAAATCGCTTACAGCACTTTTAAACTATTTATATTTATGTTGAGCTGTCACTGCAACTGTCAAGTTAGTCCTGCTTCACTGCTCATAAATGCATCAATCTTAAATGACTGGGTCATCCTGTGACCCAGGTAACCATTCAGAAATATTGACAAGGTATCATGTCCACTGTATCATCTCTCTTTGAGTAGCAGTTACTGGAGCTTATTCATTAATCATATCTAAACAGTGTGTCCTTATCTTACCTGAGCCCTATGTGGTGTGCAGTATTGTTTTGTGTGGTACAATCCATCATATCAACTTACATGCCACTTATCACACTTTAAAGACACATAACTGCTTTTATTCTTCCGTGCATGTTACATTGGAAGGGAAAACTATACCTCAGCTTCACTAATTCTCTCAAAATGTTGTTGTAGGCCAGAGAAGGAGCCTCAGTTTAAGTTCATCTATTTCAACCACATGAACTTGGCTGAGAAAAGCACCATCCACATGCGCAAGACGGCCAGTGTGTCCCTCACCTCTGTCCATCCGGACCTCATGAAAATCCTTGGAGACATCAACTGCGATTTTGCACGGTAAGCAATGCCACTGATCTACTGAAGAGGTGTATTTATGTTTGAATTACATTTTGTAATTGTATTTGGAATAAATGAATATAAAGGACCAAAAATGAGCACCTTTTCCCAAATAATGTTTATTTTATGGTGAAATATTAGTATGTATTGCGTAATAATTGCATGCATTATCCATCATTATATGCACACGATAAATTTCAGCCTAATTCACAAAACATTTTTTTTTTCTTAAACTCATTGTATTCTACTTGAGTGACCACATGCCCAAGGTTACTAATTTCCTTAAAGCATGTCTAAACCAAATCCTTATAAGGGGTTTCTGTACAACAATCTCTAAAGACACACAGCAATAGCAGTAAAAACACAGCTTGAGCTATACCGTTCTTTTTTTCTTTCTCTCTTTCTGTATATCTGTATGTGTTTTTGTTTGTATGGTTTTAAGATTAAATATCTATGTATAAAGTTGCATCTTGACATGTTCATAAGGCCACACGGTTAGTGAATGAGACTCAGTGTTTGTGCATGTTTTGTAGGGTTGATGAGGACGAGGAAATCATTGTTAAAGCGATGACCGATTACTGGGTTGTTGGAAAGAAGTCTGATCAGAGGGAGCTGTACGTCATTTTGAACCAGAAGAATGCCAACCTCATTGAAGTGAATGGTATGTAAAAATTAACTGACCAACACTGAGGTGATATAATGGTGTGAAGTTATTAAAATCTACTAGTTAACTTTTGATCACAGTTGTTAAAAGTTAACGTTAAAAAAACATTTCTGTTGACCTAAACTCTCACCAAGATTCTGTTTGTGTTACAGAGGAAGTGAAAAGGCTGTGTGCAACACAATTCAGTAATATTTTTTTCTTGGACTGAAGAGATATGATGGGCATGGACTACTTCACTACACTAAAACTGTCAACTGTTCAGGTTTTACTGACAGCATCAGTGTAATGCAATAATTGCATTGTAAAAAAAGATTTTTCACATCATGCAATTTTTTAGATTTTTATTTAATCTATACAGAAATGTGGTTGTTTCCTTGTAATTAATGATAAAATCTGAATTTTACTGTAATTACCTCTTTTCATTTGTTTGTATGTACATATGTTTAATTATCCATCAGCTATCCTCTCTTTTGTGTTTCATTCCCATTGTTCAGATTTGTTTTATCACGTACAGATACAATTGAGTTGACATTTAGGATATAAATCTGTCAAGCTATATTTTTCACTTATTTTAAATGCTGTCATGTCATCAGTATCATGGTTTAACACATTATTTCACAATAAATTTCAGTTTTCATTAAATGTAGGTTGCTGTTCTTGTTCAACTACACTTCACTCTTAAAGGGGTCATATGATGCTTTTTTAAAGATCATTATTTTGTGTATTTGGTGTAACAGAATATGTTGACATGCTTTAATGTTCAAAAAACACATTATTTTTCAAATACTGTACATTATTGTAGGTCCTCTATGCCCCGCCTCTCTCAAACACTTGGTTTTCTACAAAGTCCCTCCTTCCGACAAGCACAGTCTGCTCTGATTGGCAGGTAAACGTTACATAATATAAATATTGCGAATCATTTTGTCTGGATATAGCATTTTTTTGGACTTCCGTAACCCACCTTAATATAAAGGTAAGAAATATCTCCTATTATTTCAAACAGATGGATAAAAAAAATAAACTTAGTGTGTTGAACGTGGCCTCAACGCCGAATAAAATGTCATTGTGTACAAGTGCAAACGACGTAAAACGTCTGGTTTAATATAGAAAGCAAAATTGTTTATCGATAATATGTTGCTTTGTTGATTCAGGCATGATAAAATTTGAAGTTTATATTACAAATGTAATATGAATCGCACACATCAGTTTGAAGGATTTGGTTAGGAATTTTCTTTTTACAAGTCATATCAACAAAATTACAACTCTTAAGTCGGACCTTCTGTAAGAAATCAAGATGCCTGTTTATTTCTTAGATCTCTGCTGCATTAAGTTTAGGTATTTGTATTTATTTATTTATTTTGTTTGTTTGTTTGTTTAACTAAAACCAACCCGTTCTGTGACTGCTCAGAGAAAAAGATTTACATGAAGTCAGTATGAAATAAATAAAAGAACACAAAAGTTACAGAGATATTATCCATGTTTTTAACAGGTCAGCAAAAAAGAAGCTATTAAGTTTGATTGGAAACACAGCCTTGCAATCGAGTTTTGAGCAGTGTAGATTAGCGCTTGTTTGTCGTTTCTCCGATCACAAATGCAGACAAATGGTTTTATGTTTGCGCTGTGCGATACGCAACGCGTAAAAAGACCGTATAAGTCATTATAATCCGTAATTATGTCCCCACTGGATGCAACAAATGCCTCGTTTATAATGGGTTTTAATGTTTTTGTCTCGTCACGCCGGGACACGGCATCACAGTATGGTAGGGGCGTAACATTTCCGTCACACGCTTGAGGTAAAAATCTACGCGTTTCAGAAAGGCGGGGCATAGAGGAGCAACAATAATGTACAGTATGTGGAAAATGTGTTTTTTGAACCTTAAACCGCATAAACATTGCATTACACCAAATACACCAAATAATGTTCTTTTTAGCAACGTCATATGACCCCTTTAAGTTGGTTCGAAATACTGTTTGTTTTTCTTTTTCATAGCTTCCTTTCTGATGGCAACGTGGAGCCCACCTTCCCCTCTCCCCCGAAACCTGTTCTCCCTGCTCCTTCCCTCTCCTCCCCTCCACCACCTCTGTCAACCCCTCCAACAGATCATCCTGCCAACCCTCCCTCAGTGTCCTCTCCCCCTCCTGCCCCGTCCTCCCCTCAGTCGTCCATCTCCACAGCACCATCACCTCCCTTGGCCCCCTTGGAGCCTCAGCATGATGTTGCCTATTTCAGGTGAGGCAGATCTCTACTATTCTTAATAGAACAGAGTTGTGTTAGTATGTTATAGTACGATACATTTTTCTCAGTATTCTTTGAGCATTTATTTGAAATAGAAGTCTTTTGTAACATACATGCCATTACTGCCACTTTTGATCAGTGTAATGCATCCTTGCTGAATAAAAGTGGCCAGTTTCTTTCTTTCAAAAAATCTTTCAATCTTTTAAACAGTAGTGTATGTTGTTTCATTAGGGCAGTGATGGCCAGCGAGACTGAGCGTTTGACTGGACTTTCTGAGCTGTGGGTGTCACGATTTGATGATACTTCTATCCCGGAGGAGAGTAAGTCTTTAGTTTTGACCAGTATTTAATTTTAACCTGTCTTAATTCAAGACTAACACTGTAATCTAACCAGGTTTTCAAGAAAGGCTGATTTTTTTTTTTCCTGCCAACACTGAAAGTGAAAATGACAATCATATCTAATCAGCATATTTCATGTACAGTTATTTGGAGTAAGTATATTTCTCCCTCTTCGTGCAGCGCGAGACCAGATGCGTACGGCTGTGGGCCAGGCCAGATTGTTGATGAAAGAGCGCTTTGGTCAGTTCAGCAGACTGGTGGATGACTGCAACTTGGGCCGTGGAGAGAAAATAACAACCTGTACTGACTTGCAGGGCTTCTGGGACATGGTGTACTTTCAGGTGGGTTGATGTTACTTTTTAAAAGTGCTCAAATTCTTTCCAAGCCTTGTTTTAATGTTGTATTTTATTTTAATTGAATTTATTTTTAATAGGTGGAAGATGTTAACAAGAAATTTAATGCCTTGAAAGAGGCAGAAGCAAGGGAGTGGAAAGAGGAAGTCAGGCCTGTTGCCAGAAAAAGAGTGGCCAAAGTAAACTATATTATCAGCACCATTTTAATGTAGCATTTTAAAGAGGTGAATTGTGTAATTCTCATATCCTGTACTTTTATCCTACAGAAGCCTCCTGTTGTGGGAGGGAAGGCTGTAACAGGTGCCAGTGCTGCAGCTAAGAGTCGACTGGCTGCTGTAAAGGCTGCCATGAGAGCCAAGCAGGCTGAACAGAAAGCCACTGAGAATTCAGACAACATCCAGGATGACTCGAGCTCTGTTCCTGCAGCCCCTGCCATCACACTGCCTGCACAGACCGTGGTGTTTAATGGAGGCTTCTTCCAGGTGGAAAGTCCAGTCAAGCCATCAGGTAAGATCGAAACACATGGGATGAGATCTGATAACTGGCCCCTGCAAGTTTCAGAGTAAAGCACGGCTATGTGTTTTTGTACATGTGACCAGCTGATCATCCAGTGTTTTAAGTGTCTCGGAGCTGCTTGAACTCAAACAAGTGCTGTGGTTTAATTAAAAACTCACGCTCTATGATTTAATCTTCAAAGCAAAACAGCCATAAATATTAGTACTGTAATTTTACTGTTGTTCTGTAAAAGAAAATGTAACTAGTAGTATTAATTGTTATTAAATACTTCTTTGTTACAGTATAATGGTATTATTGCAATAATATTGTTATTAAAAACACAAACCAAAAAGGTTTCTTTTTTCTTTTTTTTGTCCTTTTGATCTAATTTCTCATTACTGCCTCCAGCTATAAAACTACAGGATTAAACCGTAGTCCAGGCCTACCAGAGTTATAGTAATATTTATACTTAAATATTGAAGTTATGCTTAAAATATTCCTTAATAACTTAATTGCTTTATTGCTTAACTTAATTAACCTTTTTAACCTTATTCAATATCCTTTTGTAATGTTGTATTTGTTTTAATATAGATAATTTTCTTGTTTTTAGGTGCTGTTAGAAGATCGTGTCGAACCAGTGCAGTTTCTTCACCCTGTGTTTCTAAGTTCAGCACTCCAGGCAGGCAGTGCAGATCTACCACAGTTTCTCACGCTTCCCCTCTACCTAGCTTGTCTGCCAGACCTCCTCCAATCCATCAACCTGATGTATTGCCTGTTTCCACTCCTCTCCGTTCTGCTGAGGCCCTCCCACAGTCACCCAGAGCTCCTCAGATTGGTCCTGACCACAACCAAAATGTTTCACCAGACACAGAGACCTGCTCGAACAGCCGTATTAACTTTGATTTAAGCTCTACCTGTACCCAACACACCCAACCAGATACCAGTAATGGACCAGAAAACAGTCCAGTAGCCCAAACACATGACTCACCCAACCAGTGTGAGCTACCTGTTGATTCTTCAGAACCTCAGCATGAAGAATGCATTCCAGAGTCTATGCTCAGTCCTTCTTCCCAAGAGGAACCACAAGAGAACATCTCTTGTGAAGTCTCTGAAGAGAGTTTGCATGTCCAGCCTGGAGCAGATGCTGGTCTAGATACTCTATCCCAGGGCTCATCTCATAGCTCTTCAGAACCAGTGGAAGCAGAACCCAGTGTCTGTGCACTTGCTTCCCCTACCCTAATGCTCTCCACACCAACCAAAGATCTCACAGTTTCTACAGCTCTCTGTAATGAGGTCATTAACGGGTACGCTACGCTTCATGTGTATGTTAGTTGTAGCGTGAATTGTCACGTTTTGTGGTTCATAATCTTATGTACTCTTTCCTCTGTCCATACAGATCTCCAACCAGTATGGATGTTGAAATGACTGGAAATCAAGATGCTGAGGTAATTATCTACAAAATCTGGGGGCACGTGGGCGCTCACACTTCTCTTTCTTGCACTCCTGTCTCAGCTCTTCCCGGAATGGTGTTCTCACCCCAGAGCAGTCAGGTGAGTTAAATCTTTCCTTTGAACTGTCATTCCCTCTTTGTCTTTCAGCAGGGTTCCCTACAGTTTTCCAGTCATGGAAATTCACAAACATAAGAGCAATTTTGATCCGGTAAAATATCTTGCAGCTGTTAATTTTATTTTATTAATTTGACTAATTTCATTTAATTAAGAATGAGATTCTATTAATTTCCTTAAGCTTTTTTCCAGGCCTAGAAACCACAATTTTTAAATTATCAGGTGTTTCCAGGTTTTCTATGACTGGGAACTCTTTCAACCACTATATCTTATTAAATTTCACAATTTTAACTGTAGTATTTTCTGTCTATAAACGTCTTGTTCTACAGATGTCGGAGAATCTGTTGCTGTTCTCCCCAGAACGGAAAGAGAAAGTGAGACAGTCAGTGTGTGAAAGTGACCTGATCACATTCACACCTCCCACGTACAGATAAAAGCACATCCACTCACTCTTTGGATGTGGATCATATTTTTTTTTTTTTTGGTTTGTGCTTGAATTAGATGTCTTTGATTTATTTGGTTTGTCTTTGATTTATTTGGTTTGTTGTTGAATTAGACTCCTTTGATACTTAATTTGTTTGCTACTTTTTGTACTTCATAATGAACATATTTAGATACAACAAAATATTTCTATGCAGTTATGACCTCAGAAAATATATTTTTAAGGATTTTAATGTCAAAAGATTTTGTGAAAGCCAATTAAATAAGAAAACAATATACCATTCTGTGGATTTACTTCTTTTTCTTACTACCACTGGTGACTGACTGTTTTGAAATGACAGATGTGGTGGAGGTCATGGGGGTAGAAGGCGAGCAATTAACATCATTGTTTGGAACCTCTCGGTTACCATCTTCCTCTTGTTTTTCCCCAGCCTCCAGCTGTTCTATATATCTGAAAAAAGTCATTTTGTTAATGATTAAATGGGCTTCAACAGGCCAGTCCACATTACACCGACAGACGACTGAGTATAGTGTCACGTCTCAAGCCGTGGTCCCACTACACTTTTCGTTCCATTGACTTCCATCCATACGCATGCGATTGCGTCAGACCGGAAACGCAAGCCCGTGCGAAAAGTTTTTGCATTTCGCTGCGTTCCAAAGTTCAAGCTTGGTGAACTCTGGCCTGCGAATTCGCATCACGTGACACCATGTGACCAACGGCGGATTTTTTTTTTTTCTTTCAAACTCAAAGATATTTGAACTAAATTTCTGATAAATATTTCAGAGTTTCAAACTAATATTTTATTAATTTGCATGACTTTAACAGGTCTAGAAATGTCACTTTTAAAATCCGGCTACCTCATAAATACAAGTTTTCCAAGGCAGTGAGAACCTTAGTTCTTCAAAGGAAACAACAGTTGTTGAGGGAGTAAATGAAAATAAGAAATATTTTGATTTTTGATTTATTTAAAATCATCTTGAGGCCCCTTTGGAAGTTTGCTGAGGCCTCCTGGTTGAGAAGCACTGATACAGTAACAAGACTGACCATCAAGAATTGTATTTGTGAAGTCAAACCTTTGAAAGCAAGCACAGGACTTTGGCTTCGTTCTGTCTCCTCGGATAGTGACGACTGAAACATTTCAAAAGATGAGAACACCTTAATGGAGACAGTCTGGTTAGCTTAAACCCAAGCTTGAGAGAATGATCCACTTAATGTGAGACTGGGTCATATCTACAAATCTCAAAAGACTTTGTACTGTCAACATGGGAAGAAATGCTAGAAAAGGGATGATTTCTTTCTTAAAGCAGCACTATATAACTTTTGGCGCTCTAGCGGTTAATAATAGTGTAGTTGTTCTCAACCTTTTTCAATGCCATGCCCCCTAGTTTTGTTTAAAAAAAAAAAGAAATTTTCACTCCTAAAGTTTGTGTAATTGTTAAGGGAAACATGTTTATAATTAACTTTCCAAAACTTAAGAGCTGAATGTTCTTTAGGCTTCTACTCTTTAACCAATTAATTTATATCACTCTTCTAGTAGTTCATGATTTACTAGGATTTTTTTTTTTTTTTTTCAAACTCAAAGATATTTGAACTAAATTTCTGATAAATATTTCAGAGTTTCACACTGATATTTTATTAATTTGCATGACTTTAACAGGTCTAGAAATGTCACTTTTAAAATCCGGCTACCTCATAAATTACTCCGCAGCGGTTACGACCCGACCAGGCTACAATAGCCCAAATAGAAGTACTTCTTATAAGTGTACCGTAGTGATTAGACAAAAGTAGTAGACAAAAAAAAAAAAACGGTTTGGAAGATGAATTCATGATGTACTCGCTCATTATATACATTTTGCAAATTTTGAACACAGAAAAAGTTACATAGTGCTGCTTTAAAAGTAACAAGAAAAAATCTATTTAAATGATGTAACTATAATTTAGTGAACAAGAACAGCAGGACAGGCGGCACATACCTGAAGTGAACTCAGAACAGTGTCCTCCTGATGATCTGTGTCAATCTGACTCTCAACATCAGTTTGGATTCTTTGGCCTTTCACCTCAGCACAGCCCAACAATGCCTCAAAAAACTCCAGAAAGCTCATCTACAACCAAAATCATTTATCAAGTCAAATCAAAATATCATCAACCAAATACCATCAGCTACTGACCTCCAGGTCCAAGTTGCTGTAGGTTCCATCATAAATTGCTGGACTGTCCACAGAGAGGATCTCTAACACTTTAGACACAGTTAGCTCACTGTCATACAGATAGAGGTCCTGTGAACAAGACTATGCATAAGAATCATGTATGAATAATTCTTAGTAAGCTGAAACTAGATCAGAGTAAGAGGCCTGTTACCTTAAGCATCCAGACAAATTGCCTTACAGTCAAGATTGAGTCAGACTGGACTGAACTGGCTTTACACAGAGCCTGGTAAATTTCCCAGCATCTGTCTGAGTAGTTATATGCAACCGCAGCATGGACAGGATGGCAGAACAGAGGCCCTAAAAAATGTGTGTGTATATATATATATATTATACATATAATATATAATTAACCATTGTAATAAAAAATAATATATTAAGTATTAATTATAACATTTATTAGAGTTTATAAATAATTTTATACAGAAAATTAATTCTCTACAGTCTTTATCTCTACCTTTTACGTGTTTCGCATTGGGAATGATGTTCTGCCTCATGAGCTTCGAAAAACACGCTGCGATGTTAGAGGATCTAAAACATGACAAAGTAATTTGTGACTTGATGAAAGCATAAAAAAAACCTCAAACCTTTTTATTATGGTATGAATGTACTCACTCAATATCTTTGTGGCAAATATGATATGCTACAATGATAATATAGCTGATACACTCTCTCGGTAGAATGGCAGCAAAAGGAGAATGAACCTCATCTAAATTCAGACAATGACAACAAGCGAAACTTTTAATTATGTGTAATAGATTTTGTGACAAAAGAAAAGCATCATCACTTAAACGTTCTTATGCTCAAAGGCATTACCGTTGATAAGACGATCCATTTGCGCTACTGTGCTTCCATGCTGGTGAACTTTACAGTCCATGAGAAAGCGAGAGAACTGCAGGTGGGTCAGTGGGAATATTTTGTCTGAAGACTGCTCACGTCCAAGGCAGCTGTAGAAGCTGTATATTTCCCTTAACAAACCAATGTGTCTCACTACCGCAAATTCCACCTAAACAGATGTAAATAAAATAGTACTTACACACAGATTTGGCTCTGGATTTACCTTAGGATTCATCTCAAAATAGGACAAAAACCTGTTTAAGTTCTTGATCTCTGTGGGCCTCAGGTAATCTACTTAACAGGGCTTGAATGTTCAAAACCATGTCAGATCCAAGCGGCGAGGAGCTTGTGCTTGACTGTGAAGCTCTGTTTGATGAATCATCTAATGTACAGAGATAAACACTGTTAGATAAAAGAAGGACATAAAAAAAAAACTTGGGGAAGACTCTGACATTCTGTATGTAGGGGATAATGCACTGCCAGCAAGCCATTTTTGTAAACGAAACCCTGACAAAGTAATCAAGACCCCAGTGTGAACCAGACTCGTCTCATAACATCCTGATGAGTTTTGTTGTAAGAATGACTGACTGTACATTATCTACTAACAAAATGAATGGACATTAATTATTCGAGTTTAATACAATACATATTTGTTATACATATTAAATAAATATACAAAAGTACACATTTTAGATTTTTTTTTAATATAAAAATTAAACTACAGATTTAAATGTAGGAAATCAGTTATCGGTTTAGCAGCCATTATTTAACTAATCAGAATCAAGTATTCCGGAGAGCTAATAATATATTTTGCTTCTGTCCATGAATATTGCTTACTCTCGTCTGGAAAAGGAGTCGTAATTCCACTTAGGCCAGGAGTGAAGGCAGGAAATTCAGCCATGCCGTCCTTAATAAACTCCCCTTCATATACCCGTCCATTTTCAAAAGTGTACCTCCCCTGCAAAAGACCATCTGCAGTGTTGGAATCACAAAACCATCTCAGATCTTCATCATTTGAAAGGTGGTTTACCTGTCCATGTTTTTTGTCATGTTTCCACTCTCCACAATACACAGCCCCACTGGCATAAAAGAACTGTCCTTGACCATGACGCTTGCCCTGAACGAATTCTCCTGTGTACTCGTTCATACGAGGGTACTGAGAGCACGGAACTCTTTTACGCAACCAGGTGAGCGTTCCTTTTCCATCCTACATTAAATAAGAAAGTTCTGCTAGAATTTCAGTACAAAATGATATGAAATCAGACATAATACAGGGAACGACCCTTAAAAAATGGGCAAAGTTACACAGACCTGGATGCCGTTTACCCACTGCCCACTATATTGCTGATCCAACTGAACCCATCTCATTGTTCCCTCTCCATGCCGAACACTGTTCCTCCATTGTCCCTCATATACATTTCCAGATGGGTAACTTTAGTGAAACAAAAATTGTAGCTTGTAAGGAGATATTGAGCAGAGTAATAATAATAATAATAAACTTAATTTGAAAGTATTAAAAAAAATTTTTTTTTTTTAAAGAAATGTGCATTAATATCACATACCACCGCGTTCCCCAGCCCTCTCTGCAATTGTTGGCCCATTCTCCCTTGTACCATGATGTGGCTGCTTGGTTATAGTACATTAACCCCTGTAACCATCACAGGACACCAGTAAAGATATTTATTATTAAATGCATGTGCGGAATGTTAAGACAATGGATGTGTGTATGTACATACCTGCCCCTGTCTTTTGCCCAGATACCACTGACCTCTGTACACGGTAGAGGTTTTGGCACATTTATACACTCCGACACCATGACGCACACCTTTGTGTACCTCTCCCTCATAAGTGCTGCCATCCAGCCAGGTGTAAGTCCCATGTCCCATGGGAACATTTAATTTGAAATCACCCTGCCAAATGCAACAGGAGGGAATTTGTGTAATTATTGGCGAAACTCTAGAAAGTGTATGTGTAAATAAAAACACTGGGGTATTATGTGACTTGTTTCAAAATTTACATGAAGATGAAGCACAACTTAGTGACCTGTGTTAACTTTTTACATACCTGATACTTTAAACCGTCTGACCAGATATATTCACCATGGCCATGCATTAACCCGTGTGAAAAACTACCCTAAAGATCACAAAATGTTAGAAATCAGTTTATAAAATGCTTTTTTCAAGCAGAGTCTGTAGTTGGACATTTGAGTAAACCAATGACAAGAAAGTGTTTTTTATCAGCAAGAATGAAATACAAAAAAAGGAAAAGTTTTTGTTTTTCATTTCTAAATGTTTTTTCTATAACGTTAATTACAATGTACTTGAATATTAAACAGTTGTTATTCATAGTTTATCTTTATAGTGAAAAGTGATATACAAATAAATTATAATGTAATTAACATTTTCCATTATAGTGTAAATACAACATACATTTTCAGACATTTCTATTTACACATTTTTAATTTTCTAACTAAGATCTGTTGGGTAATATATAATGTAACGTTAGTAATTGAAGTCATTGAAAGTTATTATCATTTTACTTAGATTAAATTATATTTTAATTAGATTTATACTGGGGTTTAGTCCCGTCGTTCATCAGTCACCTTGTAAATGTGGCCACCTTGAAAATAAGCGACACCTTCTCCATGAAACATGTCTCCACTCTTATCACCCTCATATCTGAGAACAAGAGATCAACAACAAACACAAACACTATTATTCAACAAATCTGGGTGTTAACATTTTTGCAAGAATGCGTGTCTAACCTTTCCACGATTATATGATGAAGAATGGGAACTTTACGGCACTGATCATGCTCGTGGTTCTGTTGATGGTCATCGGAGGGTAGAGATACGGCAGATGCGGAACACACAGTGGAACGCGGTGAGTTTTGTACATCGCCAGGCTCTGCGACGGACTCTGACAGCAAACTGGACGTGGAGGACTCTCCTAACACTTTACTAAACGTTGGTTCTGGTGTAGATCTGTTAGGACTTTTTATTTTGTATCCTTTAGCCATTGTTGGTGCAGAGAGGTAGAAGTATTCGCTAATACACCGACTAGCTGGAATCCCAGTGGAGTGTACATAGTAACACGCTATCGGTTGCTAGGGAATGGTAAGTACGGCAAGTTAGACTTGCCAAAATAATTAAGAGGACCTGTTGAATGCAAATATTGAAACATAACCTGGAAAAACTCTTAATAAATATTTATCATAATAGTTTTATTTTTTTAAAGTCAGCTTTTGTGCAGGCACGTTTAAAGGGACAGTTCACTCAAAAATTAAAATTCACTATTTATCTGTTAATATTTACACATTTTTTTGTCGTTCCAATTACTAACATTCTTCTGTGCAACAAGGAAAAGATTACTTTTAAGAATGTTGGTAACCAAACCGTTTTTGAGGACTTACATTGTATGAACAAAAATAATTACTTTCTCAATTGTCTTCTTTTTATATTCCGCAAAAATAAAAATGCATACAGGTTTGGAACGAGATAAGGGTGTGTAACCCATGACAACTTTTCTTTTTGTACTAAAACTAATCCCTTTGGATCAATTATTCAATCATTTTTAATATTCTGTAAAAAACATGCAATAGGAGGCTATGGATTTGAACCTTTAAAATCTACTCACTTTAAAGAAATAATATATTGTGAAAAAAGTGACATTCCACTTAGATAATTACAACAACATAAGAGTGCAAACACATAATGAAAAACTTACTTTATTATAAAAAATAAAAATAATAAAACAATAGTGTTTGACAGACAATATAAAATTGGGGAAAAACAGCAAAAATGCAGTTGCTTCAATCCTAAGAAACCATATCCAGATTAGCAAGGTGTCTCATGGTAGGTCTACCATGTGGACAATTCCAGGGCTGTTCAATTTCCCCCATGTGAAGCAGAAGTTTCTTCATTTCACTGGTGTTCAGGGCAGTGCCAACCATCACCTGGGTAAACAGACACACATTAACAAACCGTACAAGACAACAACACAAACATGCAACAGCTCAATCACACATTCTGTTCTACCAGGCAGATATTTATTTGGGTACAACTGATAAATAGCAGACAGGTAGGTTTGAACCGGGCAGGAAAATAATTTTGACAGGAGGAAAAGCCTACTGCACCCACCGATTTGCGACATGCTCTGGATGCAAACATCTGCCTAACTCGAGAAGGTCGACACATGATTCCAGGACTGTCGCTAAGCATGAAGATGAGTTCTTCAATGTCACTTGGGCCAAAGGTCCAATTCTTGCTTGTAGGTAAAGACACCAACTTTACCCTCTGCATAACCTGAGCTGAAAAACAACACCATCCCACGTCAATCTGGGGGAAAAGGTACCATATAAGATAAGAAACACAACTACAGTAGATAACTCACCATCCTCATCAATGAGGAAGTCAAAACCATTCTTTCTGAAGATTTCAAGGTTTTCCATGAGCACAGTTTCACTGATAGCTGGGAGGTTGAGACTTTGTGGACTGCATATTAAGAAAGAAAAAAAAAAAGTTAGCTTTAAAATAAATACCTGCTTCCAGTTTCACTTATCTCTGCAGAGTGTTACTTACACTATGAGTCGCTGTCCCTTTAAGACCGTATTCTGTTGTAGCATCTCAAAATTGTACTTTTCGTCTGTGGCATGCTGGTCAATTATGAAAAGGTCGGATTTCAGCTTGGTGATAATAAAACCCAGGTTGAACTGACCGATTATTTCCATATCCTTGAACATATTTTTGCTGCAAGAAAAAGTTGAAACCTTGTAAATGGCATATAAACTTGATGATTTTGGTACTTTTTTAAGAGATCAATCTAAACATCAGTGTAACCTTATTTCTTTCTTAAGCTCATCCTCAGCACCCTGGTTTTCACCAGGGTTAATCTTCGCCCTGAACCGTCTATATTTTGGCTCTTGATCATTGTTCTCTGTCTTCTGAGCCTTTAGCCTCTGCATCCTTTTAGAAAGTTCCTGTAGAGAAAACTGTAAAAGCACTGTTTTCTTCTGTACGCTGACAGGTGAATCCAATTGCAGAGAAGCATTCTTGTTTTTGGAATCCACCAAACAGCTTTGTGCTAGAGGTTCAGCTTCATGTCGAGCTCTTTTAGCTTCAGGACTGGAAATTCTGTCCTGGTATTGTTCTGACATTGTCTCCGGCACAAAAGGTTTATAACTCCAGAACTTCTCATATACAGGTTCATCAATAGTCTCAGCTTTAACATCAGTTCCATGTATACTAGGGTGTAAAACTGACTCAGAATTGTTTTCATGTAGAATCTCTGGATCATCTTCAGCTGAATTTTGGTTTGCAGCCCCAGAATCTTCAGCATCACTATCAAAGGTGCTTTTATATTTAGCTAGACAAACAGTTGATTTTTTTATGGAAGAAACGGCAGAGAAACTTGGAGAGGAATTCATAATGTCTGTCATTTTTTTAGAGCAGCTCACAAAGGAAAACATCTTCTTCTGAGAAGGACCAGCACAAGCAGTTTTATGACTAGACTGCTTTGAGTCAGTTTCAGGAAACTGATGTTTAGAAAATGCTTCCTTAAGTCCAGCTAGATTGATGGAGGTCTTTGGGGGTCCATCATCTGGAAGTGCTTCAGAGACAGAACCTATATCCCGATCTTCTGAACTAGCACTTGTCTTGGTTGGTCTGCACAGGTCTTGAATGAAGAACAACATCAACATCTGTAATAACACTTCAAGACAACATATGATATGTCTTAAAAGGTCTGAAGTACTTACTGGTAATTGCTGGAGTAATGTGATTGAGACTGATTTTATTGACACCGGTCTCAAACATAGCAATGAGTGAGCTTTTCAGAATTGCCAGCAAGAGTTTTTCCTCTTGTAGAAGAATCTGACGTTTGTCTGGAGTCACATTCACGTCGACACAGTCTATTGTGAAACATAGAATCAAAACAAAGGAATAAATGACAAGTATCAGTAAATTAAGTACATTTAGCATTTATATTTTACATACTTTGCATTATATACACTACCTTTCAAAAGTTTGGGGTTGGTAAGATGTTATGTTTTTGTTATGTATTCTTTTTTTTTTACCCTGACTGCATTTATTTGATAAAAAATGTAGTTAAAATAGTAAAATTGTGAAATATTATTAACATTTAAAGGGATAGTTCACCCAAAAATCAAAATTTGATGTTTATCTGCTTACCCCCAGGGCATCCAAGATGTAGGAGACTTTGTTTCTAAAGTAGAACACAAACGAAAATTTTTAACTCAAAACGTTGCTGTCTGTCAGTCATATAATGGAGGTGAATGGGAATCACGGCTTTGAGAGTCAAAAAAAGCTGAATTTTGGTTTGCAGCCCCAGAATCTTCAGCATCACTATCAAAGGTGCTTTTATATTTAGCTAGACAAACAGTTGATTTTTTTATGGAAGAAACGGCAGAGAAACTTGGAGAGGAATTCATAATGTCTGTCATTTTTTTAGAGCAGCTCACAAAGGAAAACATCTTCTTCTGAGAAGGACCAGCACAAGCAGTTTTATGACTAGACTGCTTTGAGTCAGTTTCAGGAAACTGATGTTTAGAAAATGCTTCCTTAAGTCCAGCTAGATTGATGGAGGTCTTTGGGGGTCCATCATCTGGAAGTGCTTCAGAGACAGAACCTATATCCCGATCTTCTGAACTAGCACTTGTCTTGGTTGGTCTGCACAGGTCTTGAATGAAGAACAACATCAACATCTGTAATAACACTTCAAGACAACATATGATATGTCTTAAAAGGTCTGAAGTACTTACTGGTAATTGCTGGAGTAATGTGATTGAGACTGATTTTATTGACACCGGTCTCAAACATAGCAATGAGTGAGCTTTTCAGAATTGCCAGCAAGAGTTTTTCCTCTTGTAGAAGAATCTGACGTTTGTCTGGAGTCACATTCACGTCGACACAGTCTATTGTGAAACATAGAATCAAAACAAAGGAATAAATGACAAGTATCAATAAATTAAGTACATTTAGCATTTATATTTGACATACTTTGCATTATATACACTACCTTTCAAAAGTTTGGGGTTGGTAAGATGTTATGTTTTTGAAATAAGTTTCTTTTTTTTTTACCCTGACTGCATTTATTTGATAAAAAATGTAGTTAAAATAGTAAAATTGTGAAATATTATTAACATTTAAAGGGATAGTTCACCCAAAAATGAAAATTTGATGTTTATCTGCTTACCCCCAGGGCATCCAAGATGTAGGAGACTTTGTTTCTAAAGTAGAACACAAACGAAAATTTTTAACTCAAAACGTTGCTGTCTGTCAGTCATATAATGGAGGTGAATGGGAATCACGGCTTTGAGAGTCAAAAAAACATACACAAACAAAACCAAATTAAACCCTGCGGCTCGTGACGATACATTGATGTGTAAAGACACGAAACGATCGGTCTGTGCAAGAAACTGAACAGTATTTATATCGTTTTTTTACCTGATTCACCGCAATGTCCGAACTGTCGTTCTCAGACGCGTCTTCTTCTTCTTCTTGCTTTACGGCGGATCGCACACTTCTAAATGCATTACCGCCACCTATCTCTCAAATGGACCATTGACACTCCTAATTGAGATTGTAGATAGAGTGTCAATGGTCCATTTGAGAGATAGGTGGCAGTAATGCACTTATAAGTCTG